TTCGTATTATCAATTGTTGCAGCGCGCAACCCGTTCCCAAAACATATTAACTCTGTTGCGGTGTGCAACCCGATCCATATCATTTATCACTGTTGCGGCGTGCAACCAGATCCAATTATATTATTGTTGCGGGGTACAACCCGATCCAAATATAATATTATTGCGGCGTGCAAACCGATCCAAATATAATATTATTGTGGCGTGCAACCCAATCCAAATATACAATTCAACACTAATCACAACAGAGTCCCGGCAAGGGATCAATAAAGAACAACACCATCCCGGCAAGGGAATCGACAGTATAAGTAACTACGTCCCGGCAAGAGAAATCGGCTATAACCAAACTTGTTCCAATAGCTAACTACCTCAATTAGCACCAATACTCAATCATAAGTACTTCCCACGAGAATAATCATAATCCTTGCTCAACACAGAAAATCAACAACTTAGGCATTTGTAGGATTTATCAAGAACACAACAATTTCAATTTAAGACTCACGGTCATGCTTGACACCAACGTATAGATACTCGTCACTATACATATACGTCGTACTCAACAAATAACATGTAGCACATAGGACACAACTCTTAATCCCTCAAGCTAGGGTTAGACCAAACACTTACCTCGATGCCACGAATACAATTCAAGTCTCTACTATCGCTTTACCTCTTGATTCCATCACTAATTCGCTCGTATCTAGCCACAAGTTACTTAATTACATCAATAAACGCTAAATGAATCAATTCTAATACATGAAAATGAGTTTTCTAAAGTTTTACCCAAAATGTCAAAAATCGCTCCCGGGCTCACATGGTCAAAACCCGAGGTTCGAACCAAAACCCGATTACACATTTCCCTATGAATCCAAATATATAATTTATTTTGAAATCGGACCTCAAATCGAGGTCCAAATCCCCAATTTTTGAAAAACCTAAGTTCTACCCAAAATACCCAATTTTTGCAATGAAAAATATTGATTTTGAGTTGAAATCATGTGAAAAGATGTTAATGATTGAAGAAAACGAGTTAAAATTGATTTACAATTGATTTGGAAGAAGAATTGTCTTTGAAAAATCGCCCAAGAGTGTTTTGGTTTTGAAAGAGTAAAATGAGAGATTTTCGGTTAAGTTATAAAATTGCAGGTTGCAGATATGGGAATTGCGACCAAGGTTCGCAATTGCAAACCCCGACCTCTGCTGTGTTCGCATTTGCGAGTTGGAAAATGCGAACAAAGGATCGCATTTGCGATAACAGGCCCAAAAGGGGCGTATCGCATTTGCGAAGGAAATCTCGCATTTGCGAGGAAGAGCTGGCCTGGGTTGTTTCGTATTTGCGACTGAACCTTCGCATTTGTGAACTCGCATTTGCGAGCCAGGCTTCGCAAATGCGAAGCCTGCAGGCCTGATCACACCAGCTAAAAACCTGTAATTCACCAAGTCCAAAATCCACTCCGTGGCCTATCCAAAACTCACCCGAGCCCTCGGGGCTCCAAACCAAACATGCACACCAACCTAAAAAATCATACGGACTCGCTCGTGTATTCAAATCACTAAAATAACATCAACAACTATGAATTTAGCATCAAAATCATGAAAATTTTTTAAGAACTTCAAATTTCCAATTTTCTCAAAAACGATCTGGTTCAAGTCCGTTTCTAACCAAATTTCACAGACTTACCTTAAATCACATATAATACCTGTGCCGGGCGCCGGAACCAAAATACGGGCTCGATACCATCAAGTTTTAATCATAATTCATTTTCAAATCTCATAAATAATTTCAGAAAACAATTTTCTTTAAAAATTCATTTCTCGGGCTTGGACCTCGGAATTCGATTCCGGGCATATGCCCAAATCCCATATTTTCCTACGGACCCTTCGGGACCGTCACGAGTCCGGGTCCGGGTCCGTTTACCCAAAATATTAATCGAAGTCAACTTAATCTTATAGCCAAAATTTATTATTTTTCACAAATTTTAACATATTGGCTTTCCGGCTACGCGCCCGGATTGTGCACGCAAATCAAGGGGAGACAGAAAGGGATTTTTTTAGGCCTCGGAACGCAAAATTTACTTTTAAAATAAGTGATGACCTTTTGGGTCATCACACACACCATAAGGGTCATGATGACACCTAGTCCCTAAGACTAGGTAAATCCATCACAAACAGTCTCAATCAACATATAACAACTTCAAAATTAACAAAATACTGTGAAATATGATAATATTGCCAAACATGAGTACAATAAATAACTTTTCAAAACCCGGTATTACTGAGTCATAAGCTCTACATGGAATACATAACAAGTCTTAAGAGTACAACACTATTTGGGATACATAAACAACAGAAAATGAAGTAAGAGGGTGACTCTAGGCCTGCGAACAGAACAACATGAATACCTTAAGTCTCCAACAAGCTCTAGCACACTGCCTAATGATTAGCTCGATCTGAAGTACCTAGATATGCACAAAAAATATGCAGAAGAATAGTGTGAGTGCACCATAATTGGTACCCAGTAAGTCTCAAGACTAACTTCGGTGAAGTAGTGACGAGATTAAAGTCATGACACTCACTAGTCAAATAACCTGTACAAGATATTAAAAGAAAACAAACATGTTCATAACGGAACAAATATCAACAACCTCGTAGAGCGTGTAACAATAATTCTATGCAAAATTTGTTATCTAGTTTAATAATCTCCTTTGAAGAATTAGTTAATTTTAGAAATATTCTAGTTTGTAATTAAGCTGTTTGTTTTTTATATTCTCAAATATATAATGTCTTTCACCGTAAAAGCTTGCAGCAGAAGATCTATATTTAAAGAATTATTAATAATATTAAAACTAAAGCAAAAAGTAAATGCTAAATTAAATTATTTGATACTATTTCCTAGTGGCACTACTAACTTAAAACAAAACATGAGAAACTATAAAAGGTATTAAAATGGTTTTTCTCATACATCAATTTAGGTTGGAAGAAGATAAACGTTAGCCACGAAGTATATCTCATGCCCAATATGATCTTTCAAGCTTTAGTCATGAAAGAAAGAAGAAAAAGTGACAACGTATAAGAAATCTTTTGGGCTACTGACATGTCAGTTTGGGCGAAAGTTATGGGCTGGTTTGGGCTATTGGAAATAGATGGATTTAATTGGATTGTGCCCAAACGTAACCCATTTGTAATGTAGCCCAGCCCAATCCAACCCATTAAAACTTGGGCGATTTAGGCGGATTAAATAGTTTTGGGCTGATTTTGCCACCCCTATCTGTAACCATACCAAATTTACTACAACATTATCTACATGAGATTCCTCTATGTAAATAATTAAAATTTACACATTTGGTAATGCCAGATACATGTTTGCGCATGTTGCATCTTGGAAGATGCCAATTTTTATGGAATGATACTTCCCATTTTGCTTCATGTTTCATCTATGGCAGTATTTTCTTCTTGAAATGTCTGTATCGTCGGAATATCACATTTGTTAGTAACTATCAGTTCAGCACACATTGAAGCAAATGATACAACACACCAAACTAGCAAAGTTGCATGGGGCTTTTGCATCTATACCTGATTTGGGGTCACAATTGAACATATACCCATTTTGTAAAAATGTTTGCAAGCGTACCCACTTTACGATCAACTTAAGACTTATCGGGTCTGAAGTTAAAAAAATTAGTCTGAAGTGAAAAAATTGCACTTCAAATGCACTTAAAGCTAAATAGGTCTGAAGTGCAATCAATAGTTCCATGCACTTAAGGCTAATAAGTATGAAGTGAAAAATTGCACTTCAAATGCACTTAAAGCTAAATAGGTCTGAAGTGCAATCAATAGTTCCATGCACTTAAGGCTAATAAGTATGAAGTGAAAAATTGCACTTCAAATGCACTTAAGGATTATAAGTCTGAAGTGAAAAATTGCACTTCAGATGCACTTAAGGTCAAAAAGTCTGAAGTGCAACAAACGTTTTCATTCACTTAAGGCCAATAAGCCTGAAGTGAAAATTTGCACTTCAGATGCACGTAAGACCAAAAAGTCTGCAGTGAAAAATTGCACTTCAGATGCACTTAAGGTCAAAAAGTCTGAAGTGCAACAAACGTTTTCATTCACTTAAGGCCAATAAGCCTGAAGTGAAAATTTGCACTTCAGATGCACTTAAGACCAAAAAGTCTGAAGTGAAAAATTGCACTTCAGATGCACTTGCCAAAAAATCTGAAGTGCAACAAACGTTCTTAAGGCTAATAAGTCTGAAGTGAAAAATTGCACTTCAGATGCACTTAAGGCCAAAATGTCTGAAGTTCAACAAACGTTTTGCTACACTTAAGGCCAATAAGTCTGAAGTGAAATTTGCACTTCAAATGCAGTTAAGGCCAAAAAGTCTGAAGTGCAACCAACGTTTTTATGCACTTAAGGCCAAATAGGCATGAAGTGCAAATTGCCCAAAAATAGAAATTTGTTCTTTGAATTATAACAATCCAATATACGATTTAATACCTAAATCTACTCCAAATGAGCTCAAATTTGAAACATAACCTCCAAATATCATTAGAAACAAACCCCAATTATCAATTTGTCAAAACAATAATAAATCTAATGACCCATTTTGCAATTAAGAAAAAACAAGAAGAAGAAACCCTAAACAATAGTAAAAAATAAAGCGTCATAACAGCTCACCATTGTAAAATATCATAAACTATATTAAAATATGTTCGCAACCACCATATAAAATCATTGTCACCCAAAGAATAAGAATAAGTTGTTTAAAAAGTGGGTACAAGTTAAAACTTTTTTAAAAAGTGGGTATAGGTTAAATGGGGGCGACCAAATAGGGCGTCCCGCGCAATTTTTACATGTTGCACCTCTGCAATCAAACTATTAATCTCAGTTACTGCTACTTCTAAGGCCCGCTGTAGTTTTGGTAATGGTTTTACGGGGTTCCAAGAGTTTTAAGCAAACATTCTACAGATAAAACAGAAATATACCCTGTAAAAGATCAAATGTCAACACAGAAGTAAATATGGCAGTTATATAATGGAAAGTGCTTTGAGTATGAATAGTTGGGATGAAACACCACCTCTGGCTGAAAATAAATGCTCTTCACACAATAAGACCTCTTAGCAGATCTGGAACAAATCTGTGGATTTTCGAATTAAAAAGACTGAACAATGATTTATTACCTATACAAAGACCAGAAACTGTCTTACTCATCTGCTTCAACAATTGATTTTGAAGGTTCCTTTTTCAAGTGCAGGATTCACAGATCATATTTAATCCTCGAGTGAAGTCTCTGACAATCTCTTCTTTTCCTTTGATAAGGAGAAGTCTCTGACAATCACATGAATATAAACAAATGCAACTAGGGTGGCGCATCACAGTTACTCGTTAACTGAAGCACATCTATGACATTTTCTGATTTCAACCCATCTTTTTCAAACTTATCAACCTTCTATCTTCATCGATGATGCTCCTAATCCAACCTCTTTAAATTTTATGTAATCTAATGGTGATACAATCTCTGACATTAGTCTACTGAGACACATGGCATGAGATAGATGAACATCAAAGAAGTTACCTGGAGAGGCAGCAGGTAGAAATTAGTTGGCAGAGTCTACCAGTAATCATTGCAAGAGCACGCCCCATTCTTAAAATGGTGGAAACGGTTTGAATCTCTCACAATAATTTCCCTTTCTATTAGCTTTGATGATAACTTCATAAAGTTGTGGCAATCCAAACAAATACGGATGTTCTTTATAATCTTAATGGCACTGCAGCTGGAAGGAGATCTACTAGCATCTTGTAAAGCATATATCAGTGCAAGCTTCTCGCTGTGATAATATAATTGCTCTTCTTTCTGTTCGTCTTCTATGTCATGTAAAGATGATGTTGTCTCAGGGATATAGCCAATATGTTTCAGCTCTTTCACAAAGTCCTCCAGATTAGTATATATAGCTTTCCTGTCTGGATGTTGTAGGCCTCCAGAAGCAAACTCATGCACAAAACCCCCAACTTCAGTCCAGCTCAATCCAGGCTGCTTCTTAACACCGAGCCGGCGCATTTGCTTCCTAAGATGACCTGCTTCATTGAAGCTATTTGCTGAGCAGTGTACATTTGACATGAGTACATATGCTAATGAATTTTCTGGATCTAACTCCTTCAACCTAGATGCAACTATTTGGGCCAGCCCAGATTCACGATGTTTCCGGCATGCTCCAAGAAATGCACTCCATACCACATAATCTGGTGGCATGGGCATTTCTTTTATTATTTTCTCCGCCTGAAAAAAATGACCTGCTCGACCAACAATATCAACTATACATGCATAATGATCGAGTTGAGGAACAATACCATGTTTCTCAAACATAGCATCGAAAATTTTAATTCCTTCTTCCACCCATCCAGCATGGCTACAAGCTGAAAGCAGCGAAACAAAAGTGGTTGCATCAGGTTTCACATCCATTTTCCTAAAAAGTCTCGACGCTTCATTTGCTTTCCCATGCAGCGCATAAGCTTTCAACATCGAATTCCACGATACTATATCTCTGTATCTCATCTCCTCAAAAACCTGATTGGCCTGAGATATTGAGCCACACCTTGCATATGCATGAATCAATGCATTTCCAAGCACTACAGTATCCATGAAACCATATTTAATCACTTCGCAGTGTACCATCAAGGCATTTCTATCTGTCACGAGTCCTGCACAAGATTTTAGTGCAATGGAAAAAGCATAACTATCCAAACTTAACCCCTCTCGGCGCAACTGACCAAACAGGAGAATCGCTTTCTCAGGATCTCTTTCTGAAAACGCCACTATTATTTCAGTCCACAACACAAGATCTTGAGATCCACTCATTTCCAGAAACAATTTATAACAATCACGAAGCTCTCCTCCAAGAATTGAATACGCTTTCAACAAAGCAGTAACAATCCCAACATCTAGTATAAAACCGGTTTTCACACTAACGCAATGCAATTGGAAACAACCCTGAAGACCCCAGGAAAAATCAATATCATTCATTCCAAAGAGAGAAGAAAGTACACTGACAAGAGTGGCACGATTGAACCCCAAGCTATAACGATGCATTACTGAAAAGAATCCCATCGCCTTATCACCTTGTCCACGCATTTGAAACCATGCTATCATTGTATTCCATGAAACCAGATTCAGAAACTCCATAACATTAAAAACCTTCCATGCCTCATTGCAACCATCCATTGAACTATTCCTCGAGTACATTGCGATCAAACCATTACCAACATAAACACATGTATCAAAACCTGTTTTTAGTGCAACTGCATGCACTTGCCTACCACGTGAGCTATCACAAACAGAAAGAACACTAGCATAAGAAAAATCATTAGGCCTAAAATGAGCTAACATGCTACAAAATAAGCTAAAACATTGATTAGTCCGTCCATATTGAGCATAACCTGAAATAAGGGAAGTCCAAGAAACAATGTTTCTGTGCGGCATTTGATCAAATAGTTGACGAGCACATTCCAAATTACCACATTTAGCATACATGTTAACAAGATGATTGATTGTGTAGAGTACTTGGGCGGCATTTGGATTGTGGAAAAGCATGTGGTTGTGGATGTCTTGGCCAATATCAAGGCGGTGAAGGAGGGCGCAGGCGTGGAAGAGGGTAGCATAGGTTTGTGAGGAATGATGCGTAGGATAGTTGTAGAAGGAAGAGAGTAATTGTTCTAGGTGGTGGTGCGTGGGTTGCACGCGCAGCGTTTGGAGGGACGAGTTGAATTCCAATGTCGCGGGAGGATTAACAGTTGTGAATAGCCGAAGGAAAGGATGGACGGTTGTGATTCGTTTACGACGTAGCATTATTCCTTCACACGGCAAAGGGGAAAATGTGGTCTCTTAGCTTTTAATGTATGAAACTATTTATTGTTATGTTGTGATTTATGCTTATTAGTAAGTAGGAGGGAGGCTGTACCAAAAGAAACAGAGAAAAAACTAGAGTAGTTTATTAATTTTTGTCAATCTTGTTAGAAATCTAGAGGTGGAAATATTTAGAAGAACACTCAATAACGATGTGCAGTGATCAACAATAAAAGTGGAGATAAAAGTTTTTGAAATGAAAAATCAACGCGCTATAAAAGACGTTATTTAGATTTTTATAGCTATCTTGATACAAATATATAATGACGTGTTATTCTCAAGATTACCACAAACCATTCTAAAATCTTCTATTGTGCTTCTAAATAGTGTATGGGGTAAAATTAGTTAGTAACAATTGGGTGAACGAATCCCGAAGACAAAGTAGAGGTAACAAAGATTCAAAGCATTATCATTGGATAGCATTTAATGGGCAGTCGTTACAAAGAATACCTGCATTTACAGCCAATCATTATGCAGCCATCTATGACGATTTTATTCTCATTCAAGAGGGACTTGATTTGGGGATTGATGTTTGGCTATAATTCTATATTTTTAGTGCATTGTTTACTTTATAATTTGGTGGTTTAATGCTAAATTGTACTATAATTGTGTTTAATTGAGTTTATTTTATGTGTAGGTAGTTTTGTGATGAACTTGGGAGGAAAGTAAAGACTTTATATGTATTTTATACAATACAAATAATAGGCTCATGAAGACACAATGATGGGTGGTGACTAAATTAAGAAAAGAGAAAGAATGAAAGCTTACCTCGAGAGTTATGAAGCAGCAAAGTTAGGCAGCCAAAACAAGTCTCAACGTAGAAAGGAAAGGCCAGCGACACGAACTAAATTGGCCGCGTTAATTGCCGCGAGGCACTCCAAAATGCGCACAAGTCAGTTGCGGCACTGACCGCGACGCAGTGAGGAGTCTTGGACGGAGATTTTGTCCATATTTTACTTGGACTTGGTTATTTTGTTTAGGTTTTTCCCTACCTATCGTACATGAGCCGTCAGTAGATACCCTTCTTCCATTCGTCCTTCCAGCATTCCTGTTATGAAGGAAGACTGTCATTGTCCTGAGTTGGATATTATCGCTCCTGATTTATCATAGCGAGTGACCCTTCCCAAAGAGGGTTTTACATATTTTTACATGTATCCTTTTTTTTGGGTGTGTTTTCTTTGAGCGGAGAGCTTGATTCCATGATTACAAAATTTTGCCTACGTTAACAAGTGTTTTTGGCATAGCTAAGTCCTTCTGTGTGAAAAACGGTCGCCTGCCTTCGGCGTTTGTGCCAAGAGACTGGAGAAGAGCTAACCTTAGCTCATATAATGAATCACTATTTTCCCAAGATTTTCCGTGGGGGAATGATAAACCTTTGCAAATGTGGCCACCATACTCTGTTGTCCAACATGGATGATGACAGCGACTATGGGTGGATGGAACGGTTCATTGCAGTTGCCACCTACGACATCATTCTAACAACAACATTATCCTTTCCGATCGCGTGGAACCGCACTCGTAAGACCTTTGTTTGATATTTTTACTAAATATCCTTCTATAGTCATATTGATCTTTTATCCTTCGCATATTTTAGCAATTCGATGGATCCCATCGGTGGTTGAAGGTTTGGACCGGTGGGTTCAGATGATTTTAGACGTTACAACGGCTGAAACTCGTTTGTGGAAAGAACTGGCCCCCAATTATGGGTGGAAGGCCAAAAATCATGGTAATTCAAACTCACTTTATTTCAGCTTTTCATGTGAAGAACTTGACAAATCTCTTCTATCCTTTGCTTGAAATCAGTTTTACTTGCGGGCTCAGTTGTTGTCCCCGAGGAGGACGTCTTGGCTGATCCTGTTGATGCAGCAAGACTACTTCAGGAAGCATTTACTCGAACAGATATCTCTGGTCCTGCTTCGAGCGCAAATGTTTCACTACGGGGTCCCCGACAGGAGAACAAGCAACCAAAAAGAAGGCGTTCTTCCGCAGCCGGAGAAAATATAAGAGGGCAAAGACTATTACCCCTGAGTAGTCTCCAGAAGTCGTGATCACTAGCCCTCTTCTTGGGCCGGTCATAGACACCATGGTGGTCGGCGATGAAGGAGAAGCCAATGATGATGGGGCTTCTCTACACAGAAGGAACGTTCATCATCAACTCAACAGATGGCTCCATCTGTTGAGTTAACTATTACAACCGAGGACGACGTCTCGGCGCTTTGGGGGAGTTTGATTTGGTAGAAAATGCCAACTCTTGCTATCGGGTCCCAACTGTTATTCCTAGTACTGCGGGGCCGAGTTCTGAGTCCCTGTCGTATTTAGTTGGCAAGCACCCAACCACCAGCACTGCACTTGATGCAAGTGTTTCACACCCTTCAACTCCATCAGCTTCATCCCCGTTTTTGCCATCACCAACAACTACTACATTGCTTCTATCTTCATCCACTCTCCCACCAGCAGCTGCTACATCATCTCCATTAGCCACATCTAATCATGAAGGAGATTTTCCTCCTCCCCAATCCCCAGTTCGTGGGAATTTACGGCAAAATTATGCTGCCCCTTTTGAAGATCTGCAGAGGAGGAGGAATGTTACCCTCTCGGTCTCTACCGGGTGAAACTTGCTTTCCCCACCGATAGAGCTTGTTAATTATCTAAAGCCTTTGGCTTTAGAAAAATATTGGGAAAAGATTCAAGCACTCTCGAGGGAGTGTTTGTTAAACAATGCCATGCACAATGCCGCAGCGGTGCGTTCCTTTCTTCCTTTGTAATTTCTTCTACTTTTGCATGAATGTATTCTAAGTTTTGCTTCTCTTGTTTTATAGGCCAACTTTATTGCTTCCGAGGGCTTTCAAAGGTTGATTCGTGAGAAAGAGGAGCTTACTTCTGAACGAAATTAGCTTTTGGTGGAACGTGACCAGACTATTCTTCGCCTCTCGGAACTGGAAACAAAAACCACTGAGGTCATTTTTTGGAAACTCGTTTGCAACAAAGCGAGCAAGAGGTGGTAACCCTTAGCCAAGAGATTGGCCTGTTGAAGGTTTGATTTGATGAATCCAAGGCTAAATGGGCTGAAGTATAGGATGACATTCTTGCTACAACCGAGTGCGAGGCTACTACTGCTGAAAAAGTGATTGAATTAGAAGCAGCCTTGGACTCCAAAATCGAAGAGCTTGCTGCTATGGAGGCGAAGTATGCCTAGTTGGAAGAGAAGTACAAAAAAACTATTGAGCATAATAAGCTCTTTAGTTCAACTGTCCGCGACCTTGATATTAGCCTCCAATCTGTTAGGTTTGCCCGGAAAAGCCTTTCTGATGAGGTAACATAACTCAAAGAAAAACTCAAGCTCCGAGTGACTTCCCTCATTGTTGAAAAAACTTATTCCATGTACAACATAAGGAGAAAAAACCTTGGAAGAGGCCAAAGCAGGCATACTTGACTTTGATGCCAAAATTGCTAGGGCCCGAATGCTTGAGTTGGCTGCTAAAAATTGACTCCCGATGCAGTTTAATGCTTCTGGTTCCAGTTCTGAGTTTTCAGGAACTGAAGAGGAATCAGAGGATGATGATGCTGAAGACCAAACTAGGGAAAATGTCGAGCCATCGGCGGACCCACCTACTTCTCCCGTGGATGCAAGCACTTCTCTTTCTCCTAGTTTCGGAGATGCTGCAGTTTAGCTTTTCTTTTCTTTTTCCCATTCTATACTTTTTGGCACATTCTTGTAAATAAAACATATTTTTGCTCAAGTATTGTTTGAGTCTTATTTTCGTTTGAATATCCTTGCAAGTATTTAACCTTTGTATTTGCTTAAAAGTTTTTTGCACGTTTTCATTTCACGCTTTGCTATGTGTAGTCTCGGTTGCATTCTCCTCGAAGCACTTTGGTCCTGAGTGTTATCCCTTTTATGTAAGGGTTTCTATAAGTATTTGCATAAGTTTACTTTTTTCCTAAAGGCATTTTAATTTCGAGCATAGATTCTTCTAAAACCAATCATTTAACGTGAGGGTTTTCGTAAGAGAGGGCCCTTTTATGTTTACGGTGCTCTTGAAGAGGACGTTTCCTGGTCATTACGGCACTAGCATTTGAAGTACTTATTTAACTTTCAAATGAAAAAGTTAGTTAATCATTCATACCAAAAAACAAGATAAATAAAAGGATTTCATTTCATTTCTTCTATCTTCAAAAGTATACAAGCATTTGCTATGCTAAAAATAAATTGCAATTACTTGTGGCTATCTTGTATAAGTTGTTTCTACGGGGCAGGTTGTGCAGTCCCCGGTTCCAATGACGCATTTTGTTTTTGGATTTTCGCTCCCAATCGACGTGGCAGCCAATGTTTCCGTATCCTCATATCATCCTCCCCTCTAGTATTCGAATGCGAAAAATGCGAATTGGAACACTGGTAGTCTTGTGCCTTCAAAGATTCCACCAATAAATTGCTAGATAATGCTTAACTCGGCAACACAACTTACTTCCCCATAGGAATCCATGCTATCGAGCAAAATACTATCTAACAATCCTCTAGTGTTTTGTGCTCGTGAATGGTCGGGTAGTCTTTGTCCCATAGAAAACTTAACTTCCTAGTGAAAATTTGCTATCGAGTCAAAGATTATCTAACCGTCCCCGAGTGGAAGCTTGTTTGTTTGCCTTGATATCGAAGGTCTTAATGTTGTTGTGTTCGTAGTATGCTTTCTATTGCTGCCTCATTAAAAACCTTGCTAGAAAAATCCAATTGGGACAAACACTGAACGAAGTAAAAAAGAATGCAGCACATACTTTCCGCTTGTATAATATTCATCAACAATAATATCTTTTGAGGTGTGCCACGTTCCAGTTGCTAGGCAACTTATCTCCATACTGGTTCTCCAACTCGTACGAACCTTTTCTAGTGATAACTGAAATCCGGTAGGGACCTTCCCATGTTGGACCCAGCTTCCCTACATTGAGCTCCCGGGGTATTTTGGTTTACTTTCCTTATAACCAAATCCCCTACTTTGAAATAACAAAAATTGGCTCTCTGATTATAATACCGCTCCATTCTCTGCTTTTGAGTTGTCATTCTTACACGCGCCAAGTCCCTGCGTTCATTGAGCAACTCCAAGTTGATTAACATTGC